GTTTATAGAAATATATTCATTGTTTTACCTTTGCATTTCTACATTTCTATTGTAAATTAAAGTTAATCAAATTGTAATCAAACCAGAGACGCCCATCTCACCTGCTGCACTGGTGGTAGGTCTGTCCCTGGAAGATCTCTACATACACACTAATCTCTATATATACAGTCAGGAGTATAGGACAAAGTGGTCTCTATATACGGCCCCCCAGGGATCCTGCAGTGCCCTGTATTCCTCTAATGAGTGGTGGCTGGTACCAGTTCTCACTGGGCCCTCCCTGGTCTCGGGCCCTGGGGCAACTGCACATGATAGGTCCGTTCCTGTCTCCACTGTGTATATAGAGATCACTGGAAAAAATCCGGATGGGGGTTCGGGGGGCCCGAGAAAAAAATCTTGCTTCAGGGCCCTTTGTTTCACTGAATGTGATTAAACAATAAATGGATTGAAGAACAATTGAACACAGATTCAAGAACCAACCTTGTCACCAAAGCTTTTGGCACAACTTCTGCCCTAAACAACAATGCTGCAACAGAAAATCTTTCCATAACCATGTATTTTTTTGATTGGCCAAGCATGCATGTTTATGCCTATAGAAGAGTGAGGGGGAGAACAGGGAGACTTCCTCAAGGCCAGCTAATCTCAAGTGAAAACAATAGCAAAAAGCCAGCGACCTATTCAAACCATCTGATCGATTCTCTCTTAGACATATGTCGTGCAGAAGCAGGTGTCTAGAGTGGCCAGGGAGTGCCAATGGTTTGACCGTAACTGGCTAGATCTGGCAGCAGTATCGTATGGCTGCATGAGTCAAATGTACTATTCTCACGTTCTATCATTCTAAAAAGAGATGATTTCCCTATAGCTGACAATATTGCTATAGAGAGGAGTAAAACTACCTTTGTATTCTGTTATCTGTCTAGTAGAAAATTAACCCGAAGATTAATCATAGCTTGATATCAATATAAAACATTATACATATTTTCCAGCTGTAACTGATCTCCAGGAACTCTGTGTTTGATCTGGAAATGCATTCTCTAGAATATATCATATTTTTCAAAAACAGTGATTAACTTCTGAATACAATTTTTTTGTATAAACCTTCATATGAAAATCTACCAGTGTATGGCCAGCTTTACTCTGTACTATGGCTAAATGGTGAGGAGTCTTGCATTGGGGGTCTGTTATCCTGAGTTTTTACCCAAGGAGGGACACTGCCTATATGCAGTTTGTACTTCTCCCATGTTTATAAACACAGGAGAAAATAGACATAAATGTATCTTATTTGTGTATCACTCGGCTGTAGATACTCAAATAATCTCTGAATTGGTGCTGACACTGTCCTTCACTTTTCCCAAATTTCTGTCTTTGCACTTTTCCTTGATCGGCGGGAGATTAAAGTGAACTGGGGTACTGCGTAGGAAGAGAATCCTGGCAGATGTATGTGTGCAGATCTATGTCGGAGGTAGGGGTAAGCTGCTATGGGAACAGGGGCTAATGTAAAGGGTTCTGTGAACATTGTAAAGCATTGCTGATATGTAATGGTTAGCCCTCCCAATATTTTCTTATTGCACAAAAAAATAGAAGCACACAAGTGCCTAGGTCAGATAAGGTGACTGGAACTTGGGAGCATTGGTATCAGGATGTGCAACCCTGAGGGTACAACTGGTAATGCACTGAAGATACACCAGGCTGAGGTCGATAATGAAGGTGAACAGTATTCTTAAGAACACAAGGGAAATCCAAAAGCAGGTCAGACAGAAGCCAGGTCTGCAGTGAAGGTCAGGCACAAGTTCAGGATCAGAGATCACAGGTCACAGAAGTACAGACTGATAGACCATTCAGCAATAAGACTATAAAGGACTCTGGTTTAAATAGCACGCTAGTGGTGGGTGTGCACACACGTTTGTGTATCCCATTAGCGTGTGCATGCGTGGTTATTATAGTGGTCATTATTGAGGGACTCAATCCCTGTTGGATTTTGTATTCATTTTTTTTATGGAGAATGCATTAGGAGGTGCTGAACCTCACAAAGGTGGGCAGGAACTCTCAAAAACCTCCAGGTGGACAGGAATGTCAGGGAAATCTCAGTGTTGGAATATCCAAAACATATGAGAAGCTAGAGCTAGACACAGCCCTCTAGGACCCACCTATAACAACAATATAATTTTTGAATGGACTCATCCTTTAATATAGAAAATACAGTGTTATTGTTCTCAGCCCTTCTCAGTCAGTATTTTAACTTAAAGTGTTTAAACAAGCTTATGTACACTGGCTTAATGTCCCAGAAAATTAATTAAAATGTTAGTAGCTACCTTTTTTATTATCATTTTGTGGTGTAAATTGGCAGTGGCATTACTGATTGGGAGAACTTATCCAGGCCAAACTATTCTTTTGGCCTAAAGTTGCATTGTACTGTACATATAGAATTACGTATAAATCTGATCATAACTGTCCAGCTCAGGTCCAGTTCATTTTACAACTAAAGGTACCTTTTCGACAGTAAAGGCAGCAAGAGATGACCACTTATGAGGGAAGAGATAATGTTTCATCAGTCCTGCCACATACAGGTCATTCTGAACATCTACATTTGGTTGCTTCTCCAGATTTTATGTTCCAGGAAAAAGGGACAGCGCTTCCGTAAGCCTCTTAATTTACTGGAAGTTGTTTAAGTGGTGGAGCAGGTTCCTAATTAGTGGTCATTACATGGCAGTGTATATAATAGACATCAGATGACCTAACAAAGTAAACCATGATTTTTAAGTTTGACAATATCCTGTCTTGGTAGAAGAAAAGGTCGTCGCCCTTGTATACTGTGATCAGAAACACAATAAACCTGTGTTCACATTACTGATGGTGGATGAAAAGAATTCCAAGGGTGGTCAGGCTTTAGAATTTGCTGCCCTAAAAAGATAAAATGGTCAGCAATACAAAATGTACAATTGAATGGTAGTACTAAAGGCTGGGCGTTTTTTTCCGCGAATGCATTCTCTGCATTAAGATATAAAATGCCCAGTACCTTTTTAACTCCCCTGTTCCGCCCCATATTTACGCCTCTTGTCACTGCTGTTGGTCCCCTCCATCGGGGGAGAGGGTAGAGCAGCCATAGGCTCTTTCTGCCGTTAGTCAAACTGTTGGGTGGAGAGGAGAGGCGTGGCGTGCCGCAGGAACATCCGGGAACGGGCACGCACAGGTGCCTCCACCGCCGCCACTTGGGGGGGGGGGGGGGGGGGGGGGAGACACCATGCAATGCGGGGACCCACTAGAAAACAAGGAATTGAGAAATTTTAAAAAATCCCAAAACAAAGATCTGCATTCATGACGGCCTCCCACTGATAAACCCCCCCCAAAAAAAAAAACCTTTAATATCACTATAAGCTACCCATACACTGCTGGAGTTTCGGCCAATTCCAGCATCTCCAACTCATCAAAAGTTGCTTTTTTTTCAAAGGAGACGGTCCACAAATTCTTGAGTGAACAGCATCTGCATTAAACGTTTCCCAGGTGTATTTCCAGCAATTGGAAGAGTGTTGTTTTCCAGCTAAAATTAGTAGTGGTCATCAGAGAATTAATGGAATCCAGCACTGAGAGAAATACAGGTGAAACTCGAATAATTAGAATATCGTGCAAAGTTCATTTATTTCACTAATGCAACTTAAAAGGTGAAACTAATATATGAGAGAGACTCATTACATGCAAAGCAAGATAATTCAAGCCGTGATTTGTCATAATTGTGATGATTATGGTTTACAGCTCATGAAAACCCCAAGAACCCCAAATCCACAACCTCAAAAAAGTAGATAATTACATGCAATCAATAAAACAAGGATTGTACAGAGAACAATATCGGACCTCTGAAAAGTACAAGCATGCATATGTACTCAGTACTTGGTATGGGCCCCTTTTGCAGAACTTACTGCAATTACTTTTGCACGATATTCTAATTATTCGAGTTTCACCTGTATGTAGGGTACTGTTGTTGCTAGAAATGCTGGTTGCCTGGCGGTTATGCCGATCCTCTGGTTTCAAAACTTTTTTAGTCACTGACCCAAAGCAAGTGTACTGAAGATCTAACTTCACTGGTTGATTTTGTTGTCATTGAAAGGGTTAGCTGGCTGTGGTCAGGGATTGAGTTCAGATAACCCATGAAAAGGGTCAGTTGTTTGTACTTCACTGGCTGGATGCTTGTTCTGGGTCGGTTAGTCCAAAGGTGTTGAAGTCCAAAGATCAGCATGACAGCCAGGCAAGCAGAATTTTTTTAGATGGAGGTCAGCAATAGCTGGAAACGTATTTCCTGTAGCGTAGGTTATCTTTCAACTGCCTGCCATTGTTAAGGATAGTCTGGACCTGGACATGTCACAGGGAGTGCTCTTGTAGTTTGGCTGCTGAATATAGCAAAAGAGTGTTCTGGGTAGAGTTTAGGCACAGGCTGGTTCAAACCAAGGTTTTGGGTTGGGCTGCAGGTACAGAAGGGGTGGACACATTAATATGGAATTCAGGACTCAGTCTGTCCAATTCATGAGTCAGTAGGATTTTTAGGAACCAGCTCCATTGACAGCACCTAGAGAAACCTCCCAAGTTAGGCACCAACTGTATATTTTAAGGAGCTGTGGCTACCTGTCTACTGGGATTCGTCCAGCCCTCAGGTAGAGATCGATAGAAGCAGTAGCAGACCTTCCCAAAACTCTATGCTCTCAGCCTTTACCTGTGTAACTCTCCAGGTGGGTCTAATTACTCTCCAAGACTAAATGTCAATCAGTTAGGGTTTAAATCTCCTTTTAAATGTTTTCTAACATACCCTAATAATATTAATGAATTAGCAGTTGGAGCAAAGTTGAACATTCAGTTTCTCTGTACTATAACACAGCATGGAACGGAGACTGTATTGTAACTGGTTATAAGTCTTCAATAGAAAGCTTATCAGTCTTTGTCACCTTGCCACTCCCCATCTCCTGTTGCACATATACACATGAAGCCAGCACAAAGGTGATCTCACTTTGGTCACTATGGCCTCAACAGGGATCACTGTACGTCTGGTGAAAGATGGCAGCTCCTCCAAGGCAAATATTACCCCTTACTTGGATCAAGACTACAACCAGCTACTTCAGAAGTGTCTGCAGGAAAAGCGCCTGTTCGAGGATCCTTATTTTACGGCAGAGCCTAAATCACTGGGGTACAACAAGTTAGGACCGTGGTCTCCAGACACCAGAGAGATTCAATGGAAGAGACCTCAGGTAAGGAGTGTGGGGCAAACAAGTCTTTAAAATTAATGTGTATCTAAACTCAAACTTTTTTTAGTTTTGGGTGTTGTGGGGAATAGTCAGAACCCCTATTAGGTTTGCATTGTTCTCTGTATCTGCACCTGGGAGATTTACCATCTCAGTTTGTCCTTGTGACCATTGTCTCTGGGACTAAGTTTGAGGGAAAATTCAAAATTTTGAATTCTCACCAGCACAGGAGGTGAGGCGAAATTTTCCAAGGGTCACCTGTTCCAGTGACAACTGTCCACAAGGTATTTTCCTTCACTTTAGGAAGATTCCTCTAACTTCTTGAAGTGTCTACAGGACAGTGAGTATAAAGAAATGGGACACAGAGAACACAAGACCCTGACAAGGTTTTGAAGCCTTCCTACTCATCTAAAACTGCAAAAAACTGTTATGACTAGATACACTTTAACCCATGAGAGGTCTAGCATGAGGAGTATAGCTCATTATAAGTAGCTAAACATAGCTGATGTTTTATTGGATGTCACAGAAGATTTCAAATGTTTCCTTTTTATTTTTCTGATCAACAAATTTGCAAGTTGAAATATTATATGATTCTTCTTTCACTTAAAAGTTTACACAGACATTTTCTAGCTTGATGGGTGATTTTGGCCATGCTAACAAACTTTTTTATTGCTATTTGCTGACACCTATGAGGTCCACAGAAGAGTGGACTGCTGTTCCGGCTCTGGCACTTTTAACCCTACCACTCACAATGTGTGGCTGCAGAATCAGTTGCTTTTGCTTCTAAATGCATATTGCAAAGGCCTGTCAATAGGGTCCATACATCCTTTTTTTTTTAAAGGATAACCGGCACTGATGTTTCCACCACTGCTGGGTTGTTGACTGACAACCAAGCATGCAACCATTACTGGTGATGGCAAGAAGCACATTAGCCTCCAGAGGCTGGTCACCTCTTGGCAATATCTTCTCAGGACTTCAGGTGGGAAATCTTCCCACTGTAGTTTGCAGTCTCTTCTTCAAGCCTCTTTAAAATTCTCAATATTATAAATTTTTAAAAAAACAGCACTGAGACAAAAAAATATGGAAGCTGCAATTGTTGACCTACTTCTGAAAATGTTAGTTGGCTGGATTTTACGGACTTTATTAGTTTGAGTCACTGAGCTGGAACAAACATGCAAATAAAGAGACAGTGATGTCAGAACCGTAACCTGCTTACATTTACTGGGACATTGCTGAAGCCACTAGATTAGCATGGCAGGTGAGGAACTAGTATATTTAGGATAAGTCAGTAATGGTGACCTCCAAACGTCCTCACTGCAGGATTCTGTTGATATTATAATACAGCCAGTGGGACTCCCAATAATGATCACAGTGGGTTTCTTCACCTGGATAGTAAAGACCATAGATTTCTTCAGCAAATACTCAAATAACAAACCCTATATGCTGAATGACTCTGGTAATGATACTGGCACCTGGCTGACCTGTTAGCTAAATCCATAGAGATGCTGATATTCTTATCTTGTAAATGGCTCGTGGCCCGTATGGTAGCCAATAGATTCCTCACTAAACAGCATGGATGGAGGACTCTCCACTGGCAGCTATGATATTCAGGACGTCACTGGTGCTGAACAGTTTGCAGGGTTATTATTATTATTATACAGGATTTATATAGCACCAACAGTTTGCGCAGTGCTTTACAATATAAGGAAGACATAACAATCACAATACAATTCAAGACAAGATGGTAAGGAGAGCCCTGCCCTGAGGGCTCTCAGGGCAGGGCGCAATTTAACACAAAGCAATTCAAGCGCAGCCTCTGAACTGCCATGTGTGCTGCTCATGACATTCAACATCCCATTGAATGTCAATGGGATTTTGTTGACTTGCTCTTGACATGCTTTTGAAATGCATACCAAAGGCTGGAAAACAACTCCCATTGGCATGAGCCCTATAGAGACTTCCTCCTACTTCCTATTCTGTCTACAGGTCAGCAAGTTAAGGAAAATCTCCTGAATGGGTCACGGTTGGGAAAAGAACTGACAGGGGTGTCTAACCCTAAAAATAATAAAAGAAAATCTTGGCTTTATTTGAAGTGCCCATTGTCTGAGAAGACCATACCAACTATTTATATTATTTTGTTTTTAAAGTTGGACTACAACCTCCTATCCCTACAGCCAAGAAAGGTGCCATCTTAGCCTCTATTTAGATTGCTGTTGTCATGGCGCTGCACATGTGATCAGCTATGACACCAGCCATTTGAGGGTGTGAAAGTTCGCTTTGAGAGCTGAAATAAGCACACTGACAAGCTTGACAGCTCCCATGCCTTAAAAGTAACTGTTTTGGGAGACATTAAAATGGTGGGTAAAGAAAAATGGCAGCAGGCATGTGGTTGCTATGGGCGACACAGCTCAGCTTGTGTTTTAATAGGCCTCATTGCAGTAGATGAGTTTGGTGGGTGAGTTCTCCTGGGTCCAGGCTCTTGTTGTGATACCGTTTGTGACGGACCTCCTGGTACCCAGACTGGGTACCTCCGTCAGAAAACAGCTTCCTCTCCGCTGGAACCCGAATCCCAGTGTCCTCAGCCCAAACCGGCCTAATTATTGGACAGAACCAATATATTAGGACAGGACGCTAAACCACTCAAGCATTAGACAACACCAATGTTGAGGTGGAAAACAAGATCTGCTTTATTGAAGGAAGCACACAGAATTTATACCTGACAGGATCAGATTAGAGTGCAGTGTGTCCCCTCCCCCAGACAGCTAGGTGCCGCATTAGAAGTCTTTCATGCACAGACACTCTTTGGGATGAATGTCCTTAATTAGATAAGAACTTAATCCCATCATTGCAAACAATGGTCACTCCAGCCAGCCTGCTGCCTATAATGAACACAGTGGTGTGTGTCTGTAATGTCGGGGGAGACATACAGTATATCCACTCCACATGTATCCTAGTAGAATGGTTCCATGTACCCCAAGAGGTCTGAGGGGGGTCTCCATAGTTCAGGTCCATAGTCCGTAGGAAGGTGGCTAGCCCTCAGGCTCCTCCAGCAGCCCCAGTGACGGTTCAGTCCGTCACACCGTTCATCCTACGGAGTGTGTAATGACAGATTTTCTTTCACACAAGCAACGCAGTGAAGTGTACATAATGTAACACTATCCTTTCTTGTGTGGCTTGAGGAGAGGTTGGCTTCAGGTAACCCTATCCTATTCAGAGCACCTGTTGTATTATATACAGACGTAATTGTGTGAAAAGGATCTGGGTTGTAACTACATATGGCTCGTTGAATTCTATACACCGGGGTGTTGACTTACAAGACGAGCCATTTTCACGCTGTAAATAGAACCTGTGTCAAACACCCGGTCCTGTGGAGAGCAAGAAAAAAACCGAGGCGTCTGCTGAAAATTAAAGTGACACTAAACTCAGGAGTTAAATCTTAAAAATGCATTCAAGTCACTTAACTATTAACAATATGTATCTTATTTGTGTATCACTCGGCTGTAGATTCTCCAATCATCTCTGAATCGGTGCTGACACTGTCCTTCCTTCTGGAGTGTGGCTACTTGTGTTCCCCATGGTCCCTGTCTGTGTTGTAAAGTATCCACCACTCCAAGCTCACTCCTGTGATAGACTATAACTTTAATACAAATTAGCTAATTAAACGAGAGACTGTGAATCAACCAAAATTCAAACAGTGGATGGGCCTGCTGGCACCAGCGCAAATTTCGACTGAAATTTTAAAGGAGCCGCGTGGAAAATTGTGGGCTGAACAGTTACTGTGTCCAATCAGATGCAGTCACTGTTTGGGTATTTGGACAGCCGCGGGTGCTGAGGAGATTCCTCCATCCACTCAGTTTAGTGTGGATGGGGGCATGGCCGGATTTACTCTCTCTGCTGTCCCAAGGCCAGGTTTCTCAATGCGCCCCTTTCTCTATTGCTGTAAAATCATTAAGGCTGCATTTGGGTCTCAGCAGGGCTGCGTGCAGATCTCAGCAAGGATGCGTGCAGGTCTTACCAGGGATGCATGCAGATCTCAGCACTGCTGCGTTTGGGTCCATGCAGGGCTGCATGTGGGTCTCTCCAGAGCTCTGGACGGGTGCCAGAATCTCCAGGGCTCTGAATGCAGCTGCTGGGCTCTCTAGGGCTTAACGGGTGGGATCCGGGCTTGTGCCAGGCTCCAGGGCTGTGCTGTTGTGTGTGAGGCTATCCTGTGCTGTGCCGGCACCAGGAAGGAGGAGGAGGCAATGTGCAGCCGGACTAACACTATGAAAGACAGCTGCCTGAGGTAAAAATGTAAAGCCCAGTGTCCGCTGTGTTACATATGCTATATCCCACTGGGCATTGTTACTTAGTACAGTACCTACAGCAACCAATCAGAATTCATCTTCTAGTTTGCTGACGTCCATAAACTGAATGTAATGCTAGGGGTTTCTGAGGGGGCCACACACTGCTGGAATTTCAGTCCAGTCCTGCAGTTGAGCAGTGTGTAGTGAGCTTGAGCTTTTATATATTGCAGTGTTAGACCCTAGATGAAATGTGACAATATGTCATAGTCTATAATGTTTATTTTACTAAGGCCTTTGATATTCGGATTGGAGACCTACCAATAATATATGTGCATGGAGCGGATCTAACAGTTTACATAAGATTGTGTTATATTGCTTCTCTGTTCTACCCTGTGCTATCCCTAAGCAGCAGGACACAGTCTCTTCCCTTATAATAATCTGCAGGAACAGAGCCGTGCCCACACTCACCAGTCTGCTTTCTTTTTATTGCTCATGCAGCAAACACAATGTTTATTTTTTGGGCTTATCGTCTGTTTACAAGCAGTTAAAGTTTAACTCCAGACATACATAAAACACAATTATTCAGGTTATTTATCTACAAACATAATTAAATGTATTTATACATAGAACTGGCCAAAGTAGCTGAATCTGTCTTGATATTAGAACTAAAGGTCAGATAGCCTCCAATGCTTTGCACAGGGAGGCCTTTCCACACCTCGGCATACCAGAAACGGACGCTGTGTTTGTGCGTGTTCACGCGTATTGTTTGCCGCATGTCCCCATTCATTTCATTGGGTGTCGCAGACACAAGAAATGCGGTAAAGTAGATCATGTAGCACATTCTTCTACAGGCGTAATGCGTTTTTTCCCACGCGGGGAAAAAAGCCACACGTTTTCCTGGCCATGTTTGGGGTGCCATTGACAAGTAATGGCACCACAAGCACATTGCATATTTTTTATATGTTCTGTGAACGCACATCAAAGCACTTGCTTGATATGTGATTGGTGCGTGTTCACAGAACACGTAGGTGTGAATGGGGACTCATATGCGCAGAATGCTTTGCTCTGTAATATATAGCTACACACATTACAATCTGATACAATCTCCTTAAAGATAACCATGCACAGTGTAGTTTAAGGGGCCATTCACACCACATTGGGGCTGCACTGGCTGTGTTTTCAGTGTAAGGTTGACCACAACCCAGATAGCAAGGATAACTTGCTACAAACTTGTGGCGGGGTGAAATTGTAATTTTGTTAACTTGCTGCACACATTCCTGGCAAGTTGTAGACTTGCAGAACACTTGCAGCACAAGTTCTAGTTGACACTTTTTGAATTTGTAGCAAATTTGCTTGGCAAGTCTACAGCAAGAGGCCTGCAGGTCTTAGCAAGAGCTCTGCAAGCTCGCTGGTCTGGAGACTTGCAATGCAGACTTGCTGTAATTGTGCAACAAAATTGTGAAGCTTGGCAAGTCTGCAATAGTTTAGCAAGTCATTTGCAAACTTGCAGCTCAATTGCTCGCTATCTGGGAAACGTTACAATCTGATTATTCAATCTTCTGGAGATTTTCTAATGACTGTAAAGTTTCAAGCTTTTTTTTATTTTTTTATTTAATGATCCTAGAGCAAACAAACAGATATTGCCCAGCTAAGTATTTCTTAACATTTTTGGCCAAGTAATTACAGTCATTATGTTGTCAACCTGAGTGGCCATAGACCTGGAAATCCAGCCACCCTCAGGCTTGTCTTTCAGCCGGCCATAACATAAACAGACACTCTTGGCTATCTTGACATGGAGACGGAAGGTGCATCTGCAGCAAGACACCCCCAGACATGCTTCATCAATGGAAAAAAAACAATAGTGACAAACCTACTAGAACAATCAGTCTTTCCACTAATGAGATATCCCAGATAGCAAGGATAACTTGCCACAAACTTGTGGCAGGGTTAAATTGTAATTCTTGTTAACTTGCTGCACACATTCCTGGCAAGTTGTAGACTTGCAGCACAAGTTCTAGTTGACACTTTTTGAATTTGTAGCAAATTTGCTTGGCAAGTCCACAGCAAGAGTCCTGCAGGTCTTAGCAAGAGCTCTGCAAGCTCGCTGGTCTGGAGACTTGCAATGCAGACTTGCTGTAATTGTGCAAGAAAATTGTGAAGCTTGGCACGTCTGCAATAGTTTAGCAAGTCATTTTCAAACTTGCAGCACAATTTGTTGCTATCTGGGATGTTGTCTGGCATTGTTTGCTGTCTGCAGCTACCCATGGACATGGCAGCTCTCACACTATCTAGATAAACACCCTTTAAATACATTGTGGAGAGTTTGTAGGTTGCTTGTTAAACAAGTACAGAAAAGATGTTAAGATAGAACAAGTTCAGAGATGGACAGCAAAAATGGTGAAAAGTCTGGGGGGTAAAATATATCAGAAGAGACTGCAGGAATTTAAAGTGAAACTAAACTAGGGAGTTAAATCTCAAAAATATTCAAGTACCCTAACAATTAACAAAAATTTATCTTATTTGTTTATCACTCGGCTGTACATCCTCAAATCATCTCTGAATTGGTGCTGCTGACACCTTCCTTCCTTCTGGAGGGTGGCTACTTGGTCCCTGTGTGAAGTAGCCACTGCTTTATGCTCGCTCCTGTGATGGACTACAATTTCAATACAAATAGGTAAACTAAACATGAGATTGTAGTCCATCACAGGAGCGAGCTTAGAGCGGTGACTACTTTACAACACACACAGGAACCATAGGCAAGAAAAGTAGCCCCCCTCCAGAATGGAAGGACAGTGTCACCATGAATTTAGAGATGATTTGAGGATCTACAGCCGAGTGATACACAAATAAGATACATTTTTGTTAATAGTTCGGGTACTTGAATGTATTTTTAAGATTTAACTCCTGGGTTTAGTGTCACTTTAATTATAGCTGAACCCGTTTAGCCAGACCTGTTCCACCCACACAATGCCCCAACCTTACTGCTACAATAAAGGAATTAGAAGTAATGTTTACTATTCACATTATTTATAACTGTTTTCAAAGCTTTTGACCATATCCAGTAAAAGCACTATGAAAGACTTAGCATACATCATTGAGTACCATTGGCATCTACAAATATTGGCGTAACAATAGCCATAGCAGCCCACGCAGGACTGCTATGGGGCCTGGGATAGGAGGGGGGCCCCATTAGGTGACTGTAAAAGAAAAATAAACTGTAAACTTCCCAGAATAGAAGATGATCCCCCTGTGTACAATCAGAAGCATTTGCTCAGTTGTCTTAGCAGTGTAGGTTTATTGCCCTCCCAGCAATCCCAGTGTCTTCTCAACTAAAACCTTATAGGAGGGCTGATGTTTGTAGTTCTACAAATAGTTTAAAGAAGCTAGAGATTAAAGAAATTTGTATTAGGGTTATAAGCTAATTGTGTGCAAGAGCATTAATAGTTGTGTCATAATATAAAACATGCTGATGATTGTTACACTGATCACAACTATAACTATTATCCACATCACTAGTCCCCTAGTAGTGTGACTCTGCTGACGGCTCTTCGGCTGCCTGTCCTTAACAAACGTTGATGTGCATTAGCTGTCACAGTGCCAGTGTGCCGATCCCAGTGCACCCCACTGTTTACCTTTTTTTATTTTCTCTTAGATAGAGTGACATTTTATTCAGTTCTTTGGACCTAGCAATGTAGTTGTACTGCACACCCGCTGTTGAAAGAAAGTACTCGCAATGGGGTGTACTGTCCCCATCTGCGATTAGGCAAATTTCCTTGTTTTACGTTGGGACTGAGCTGGAAAAAACAGCACAGCCCCAATGCATTTGGTGTGGATCAGCCCTTAGGCATAGTTTATGTTAAGATCAATGACACGTATTGTTACGGCTGATTCTATCAGCTACTAAAGTGAAAATGTTACCTGGGGGGCCCGATTAAAATTTTGCTATGGGGCCCCCTCATTCCTAGTTACATGCAAACCTATCCAAAACTAACCTACCCATAGCCTGTATGTAAACTGAACACTGTTTTTCCAGTTGTCTCTCTATGGGACCCAAATCTCTTCATATTGGTCCTTTTACATTTGGTGTATAGGTGCTCTTTCAGATGGGCGCATGAATGAATACAGGATCTTGTTGCCAGCAACATCCTGCATTTAAAAGTTGTCCACATGTAATGTTTGTGCTACATTTCCATACATACATCATAAATGGACCCAACTGGCCACCACTCCTGCCTAAGGCCAACATGTCAATATCAACAACGTTTAGCCAGTGGCACCTGCGCTGCTGATTACATACTATTAATGTTGACATCTGAGCCCTGAATATGGCCATTTATGTGGTGGTGGTGCATACACGGCATGAGTTTGGCTAATTCTAAATGACTGAAGTCTGAGGTCATTGTGCGCATGAATTGTGTGATTATACTATTAGACGTTCTTGATGTTAGCATGATAACCGCTGAGCCAGCCATTAGAGTGCATTAACGCTTTCTGCATGTAAATGTTTGGACAAACGCTTACATGTGTACAGTGTAAATAACGCTGAAATTTACATTCCCGTACACAGCTGTGTCCCATTTAAAAAAAAAACACAAATCAACCTTACGCTGCCAGACGCAGCTGTCTGAATGGACCCATAGATTTGTGTAGATGCGTACAATACTAAACACGGTACACAGAGTTTTCAACACCCATGTGGTTGAGCCCTAAATCTGCATACAATAATATACTGTTTATATTGCCTTGTACATGCCAATCCATATAAATATATGTGTCTGTCTTTTCCAGGAGATCTGTCATTCTCTTCAGTTTATCTGTGAGAATATGAAGTGGACGGATATTTGTCAGGGAGACCTGGGTAAGTGTGCGCAGTATTCATATAACAACCACACAACAGGTAATGCCGCTATGTGCAGCTGTGAGAACACTTGAACAGTGACTGTAGCTCATTGGCTTCAGTAACTGGCAATTGTTAAATATAGGAAAGAGACCTTAATGTCTATATTTTTCCCCAGGAAAGGTGGCATGACCTGAACACAAAAAAACAGTAGAAATGAATCATGGCACACTCACAAACCAGCATGTAAAACAATTTGTCTCACCACTAAGGTTAATAACAGAGGTTTGGATACACGTCTTCTGCAGAAAATGTGAAAGCCACACAGCCGCGCCAAGGCACCTCTTATAGTGCGGTCCTGACTCTAAACTATGAGAGTCTCCATCTTGGAGCACATGGGGGCAGAAGATTTCAAATTGGGTGCAGGTTTGTCAGGAGGAAGCCCAACCTCCTTAAAGGCACAGAAACACACAAGGGATGCCGCACATCCCAATGGCAGCTGAGAACCCCCATGCGTCACTGCACCAAATCGGTCAAGCAATGTGCGCAGTATTCATATAACAACCACACAACAGGTAATGCCGCTATGTGCAGCTGTGAGAACACTTGAACAGTGACTGTAGCTCATTGGCTTCAGTAACTGGCAATTGTTAAATATAGGAAAGAGACCTTAATGTCTATATTTTTCCCCAGGAAAGGTGGCATGACCTGAACACAAAAAAACAGTAGAAATGAATCATGGCACACTCACAAACCAGCATGTAAAACAATTTGTCTCACCACTAAGGTTAATAACAGAGGTTTGGATACACGTCTTCTGCAGAAAATGTGAAAGCCACACAGCCGCGCCAAGGCACCTCTTATAGTGCGGTCCTGACTCTAAACTATGAGAGTCTCCATCTTGGAGCACATGGGGGCAGAAGATTTCAAATTGGGTGCAGGTTTGTCAGGAGGAAGCCCAACCTCCTTAAAGGCACAGAAACACACAAGGGATGCCGCACATCCCAATGGCAGCTGAGAACCCCCATGCGTCACTGCACCAAATCGGTCAAGCAAAACAAATGACAAACGCACTCAACAATTTGTCACCAGTTATAGCTGTGCGGAATAGTTATAGTTATAGTCTCCGGAACAGTAAGTGAGGGAAATCTCCCCAATGGGAATGCAGACAAAATTGATTATGTCCTAATTGGAGAGGTTTCCCCAACTTCTTGTCTTGGTAATGGCTTGGGACAGAAATTACTTCAGTTCCCCTTTCTGCCCAAGGACAGAATAATGCCATCAAAAAGGTCTTTTGCTTTACACATCCTGGCACAAAGATAAAGTGTATTTGATGCCTGACTTTGGACTCATTTCATTGTATAATAAAAACATATTGATAAGATAGAACAAGTTAAGAGATGGGCAACAAAATTGGTGAAATGTCTGGGGGATAAAAGATATCAAGTGACACTAAACTTGTAACAAAAATGTATCTTATTTGTGTATCACTCGGCTGTAGATCTTCAAATCATCTCTGAATTCATACTGACAGTGCTCTTCCTTCTGGAGGGTGGCTACTTTTGTTCTCCATGGTCCCCGTGTGTGTTGTAAAGTAGCCACCACTCCAAGCTCGCTCCCCTGCCGGACTACAATCCCAATACAAATTAATAAACTAAATGTGGGATTGTAGTGAGCTTGGAGGAAAGGAGATGAAGGGGACATCACTGAAACATTTACATTAACGGTGTGAATAAGGTTCAGGAGGGAATTATTTTCAGTATTAAGCTAAAATAAAGAACACGGGCACATGACCGCAAACTAGCAGAAAGAACGTTCAAAATTGACCGTAGAAAGTTTAATTTTTCTGAAAGCGTAGTCAATGCTTGGAACAGACTTCCAGCAGAGGTAGTGAGTCAGTCAACAGAAAGTGAATATAAATATATTTGGGACAAACATAGATCTAGACAAAAAAGGTTTACACAAACTAAAAGAAAAAATTCTAAATTTTTCAACCAGCTCCTTCTTCATTGAAACTTGACTTTTGTTGAGGTGAGTAGTGCTGGCAGGATCACCCCCAGATTCAATTTTGACAGATTCAACAGGAAACAGATGAAAATCAATCAGTGTAGGTCACATTGATTGCTACATGCATTTCATGTCATATGCCAGAATGTACAATGAGTGGCCAGATTATTATGACCACCTGATGTTTGTAGCCAAATTAGATATAATTAGCTATAATTTAGGGCTGAATGTGCTAGAGGGCCAAACCATTATAAATAGGGAAGCAGGTTGTTTACCACGACACTAGAAGTAATTTTTTTTCTGAAGATATGGGTAAACAACGCGATTTAACAGCCTTTGAACGTGGGATGATTGTTGGCGCTCGGAGCCATGGAGCGAGTATCAGCAAAGCAGCAGAATTCGTTAAATGTTCAAGAGCAGCTGTTGTTAAAGTGTTTAAAGACTGGACTGTCAGCCGAAAATCTGGGTCTGAACGTGCGAATTGTGGCCGCCAGCGACTAGTCAATGTTAGGGCAGAACGGAGAGTGACAAGACTGGTACAAGACAACAGAAGGGCAACAGTGCCGTGTCAGATTCCTCGCATCACCTTTCAACATCTCGTGGAGTCACGAGGCGGCCCAACGAAGTCATCTCGTGGAGTCATCTCGTGGCCCAACGAAGTACTGATGGGGTGGTCATAATAATCTGGCCACTCAGTGTATTTACTGTAGGTCTTGAACCCAGCTACAATTCACAACTTATGGTTTTCTGTCTTTGCTTCTGGTGGCAAAAAAGAGCTTGGTGGGTGGCAGTGAAGTAAAGCTGTTACTTCCTGTAATATAGTATGGGAATTGGTTGGGAATCATGAACATCAGTGTACATTGAGCTGCAAATGTTGACATAGGTGACAGAAAAGATAACAAGATTAAATGCATATATAAATTGTTTTCTCTGTGAGGGAAGAATTGTTTCAGTTGAAAGATAACGAGGACATATGCATAGAGAGTGACAGTGGGTGTAGCTACATACAGATAAATGGGCAATAAAAGTCTCCTTGAAGTGCTACTATGAATGATGCTGGGACTCTGTCATGGAGCCATGATGTGTGAGGTAATCAGGTGAGTATTTGAATGCTAATTCTGATGTCTGCTCCGCTGTCTTGTTACTGCAACAACTGAACACCCCTACATACCAGACAGCATTTCTGAAAGCTGGGCGCACACAATGGGTTTTGCTAGTGCAATCATGCCACTGTAATCCCCTGTTATTAATCACTTGCAATTACCAATTGTAGCAGGTAGTTGTTATTATTCGCTAAGGATAGCTCAGTTTTCCACATTGGTAAGATCAATCGCTGCTGTATGCAATTGCATGTGTCACTAGCGATTTATAAGCGCAATCATACTAGCAAAAGTCTTCTGCTTGCGCCCGACCCCTTAGTTGCCAACAACAGATGCTCATAAGTAGTGTAGCAGCTTCAGCCATTGCACAGAAAAGGCTGTGTCCAGGGTGTGCGGTCAAACTGCAGAATATATTATTACTAGTGAATACTGTCATTATTTTATCATAGGGATCTTGAATGATTAGCTTTGGTGTCTCACCATCTTGTGTAAATTTGGTTTTGCCTTACACTTGCTATCAGTAATGTAAATACAAAAAAAAGGTAATCCTACCACCAAAAGAAAATCTTCTCCTGCCCACTCACATATTTATTTTTGGTATTAAATTAAACAGCGGCTGCTTGTGGCCTTTGAACTCCATACAAGTCTAATGCGTATTTGTTGTGGGAAAATTGACCAGAGGTTGTTTTTTTTTTTTTTGGAGTGTTGTATATTAAGGGGGTTGTTGGGAAGGGCAGGCTACCTGTGAAATTCTCTGGTCATTGGAGCAGACATTGTGTGATCTCAGTTCTTGTTCATGATGATGCATTATTCTTCATAATGACTTCAATAGCATTGTTTGTATGTGTTTTTACAGGTAACTGTTGGTTTCTGGCTGCTGCAGCATCCTTGACTGTTTACCCTCGTCTCTTGGAGAAAGTAGTTCCTCCCCAGCAGAGCTTTCAGAAGGAATATGCAGGAATATTCCATTTTCAGGTAAAATTATTTCAGAAGACTAATTTAGACTGTTTTCCTGTTGGAGTTTATTAACTGGCTCTGTGCTTGTATTGTAAGTGCATGTGCTATACAGGATAAAGCAACAATTTGCTTCAATCCCCCTTTTCTACAATTTTTTATTCTCATCAATAAATTATCATCTGTTTTATTGAAGTGGACCTAACATTGAATTATACGCTGTTTATTAATTAATAGGTCACATGTCAGAGCTACCAAATCACATCATTCTGGCCTTTCTTGCCATGAATGAAAACCCGCTGTTTTCCAGCTTGTGGCCTCTGGCTGCTAAGGTTGTAGGAGTTTCACATCATTAGAAACTTTCTGTATTTCAATGGCAGGCCCTTTTTGATATTTTTTTTTTACCCAGGATTCACATAGTTTTTCAATCTAATGCAACAGGAAAATGTGTGAATCTTGGGTAAACGTTGTATGAGTCTAGTATAAAAATCCTACAGCAATAGTGGATGGGGAAGGGTTAAAACGGGTAAACAGCCAACGGGTATTTTAACACCTGTAAGCAGACTGACAGAGGTAAGAAAAAAACATTACAAAAAAAATCAACGACCACAAGCTCTCCTGAGGTATATCTGAATTACAAAGGTCCAGTAAGCTGTAACAAATGCAGAGGGTCAAATCCAGTAGCTCTGCAAATCCAGTAGTGACACATCACAGGAAACTAAAGCACAGTCCAGGCTGAACTTTAGCAAACTTGAACTTGTCTGACACCTAATTTAGGCAGAGTCCAGTCCATATACGTTACATGAAGCAAAGAAAAAAGCAGCAGTGTGGTGAAAGACAACTGAAGGCAGAATGCTTACTTGTAGAAGTGTGGATCTGGAACTTGCACCATTCTGCCCCCGGAATCAAAAATGTTGATGGCATATTCTTGATCCCTGCAACCAGCCTTTACAACCACCACTCTATCTTTGAAAATGTGGCGGCCCACGCTGCAGCTCTGCCTGCAGCTCATGAACTTTTCCCAAAACTTTGGGTGACTTGAATTTTGGCGGGGCTTGGGCACTCCCCAGTACTTCCAGACCTCTGTATAACACCAGGTCTGTCGCTTGGCCTCCATCTCCTCCATCATGGCTTTAGGTACATAGGGATACTCGTATCTGTATTCAAGAGCAACCCTCTTGTTCACAATTTTCTGGATCAGCATACAGACTGATTACAGTCTGTATCAGTATTTAGTAGCGACATAGTAGAGCGCGTTACACTGTTTCAATGCCACTGTCAAGTCGATTTATATTTGCTGTTCTCCTAGGCAAATTTTCTTGTGCTTCCCTCCTACCCCAGTCACCTGGCTAGGCTTGATATCACATTCAATAAAATGCCATAGCCAGGAAAGCATGGGCTAGGGGCAGGGAGGATAAAAGAGACAGTTTGCCTTCTCTGCATCATTACCTCTAGAAGAGTGCCCTACTCTAGCAGTTTAGGCCCTGTTCACATTGAGCGATTTATCGCGCGGTAATTCCCGCGATATCGCGGCAATTTACCGCGCGATATCGCTCTCCAATGCTTCTCAATGGGGCAAAGGGTCCTGCTGTCGCGGGTCGTGTGTCGCTACAGCAGGACCCTTTTTGGAGCGGATTTAGCCGCGATTTAAGCTTGCTCAATGCAAGCATTTGCGCGATATCGCGCGCGACCAACGCGATTTATCGAGCGATTTTTGCAGCGATATTGCTCATATTTCCACGCGATATCGCTCTATGTAGCTTCTCCAATCCATTTCAATGAAGCTGTTCACATCCCGTCGCTCAATATCGCTTGTAGCTCGTCGCTCCTACATGACCCTTTTTTCGAGCGACTTTGCTCCTGATTGCATACAGCTCAATAGGAAAAAGTCGCGCGACAAGTCGCTCAATATCGCTCGATGTCGCACAATATCGCTCAAAATCGCGCGATTTTCATGTCGCTCAGTTTGAATGGGGCCTTAGTCCTATGTGTAGGGCTCTTTACTGGATGAACTGTAAGAGCCCACTACATAGATAGCAACCTAGCAGGGATAGCAACAATGAGGACCTGGCAAGATGGCACTGGCAAGCAGGGCAGCTACGATGTATGTTGGCTATGCCAGAATCTGTCCCTGACCACTGCAGAAGTGTAGGGTTTAGACTCTTCTTTTTTCCAATTTTAACCAGGAACCCCTTTGTCTCTTCTAGTTCTGGCAGTATGGTAATTGGGTTGATGTTGTGATTGATGACCGTCTCCCTACCAAGAATGGCGAGCTGGTATTCGTCAAGTCAGAGCAGAAAAGTGAGTTCTGGCCCGCTCTGCTAGAGAAGGCTTATGCCAAGTAAGTAATCAGTTCTTGAACAGAGCTGAAACTTTGTTTGCGTTTGTGGTTTCACCTTGAAATGCCTAGATAACTAAATGGCAACCACTGCCAAGCATGCTCTATAAATATAATACATGGAGTGAAGGCAAACAGGATTGCTGCCAAACAGCATCACCCCTATTTATTTGCATTATTTACAAATCTACCTGTTTATATTAAAGCCCTGCTCCGCCCATGAAGCACATCTGATATTTATAGCGAGACATCAAATTTACCAGCTTTATACATGTATTTATTGATAAGGAGAGACAGTAAATTCTTCAGTCTTGTGGGTGTTTAGATACTATTAATTCCAGACCAACCTTGAATACAGCTTCATAAGATATCAGCTAGGGAACTACAAGCCCCAGCATGCCCTCATTGCCCCTGTACAACAACCAGATATTGCCGTTCCCTGGGTGATATGTGTGTGTGTGTGTGTGTGTGGGGGGGTGTACAGGGACAATGATGGCATGCTTGGACTTGTAGTTCCTTAGCTGATATATATGGGGGTGGGGGGGGGCGAAAAAATAATTTTCTGCCCCGGGCGCCCATAACTCTGGTTACGCCACTGCAACCTACTATTAATTCCAGTACCATTTTTAAGTGCCTATGTAATATATAACTCACTTGATGTCAAGAAAATTCTTATTTTTATGTCCTTAGATTGAATGGGTCCTATGAGGCACTGGATGGAGGGTGGGTGAATGAAGCCTTTGTAGATTTCACAGGAGGAGTGGATGAGAGTATGGACCTCAAGATTCCCCCTGCAAACCTTTTTCACATAATCCAGAGTGCTGTGGAGAAGAGGTCACTCATGGGAACTTCCATTAATGTGAGTAGCCAATGAAGACCCTTGCTGTGGGGCTACCCTTATGTCTAGGGGCAAAAGTAAAGCAGATCCCTGCAGCCTCTTCTCCAAAGGCTCTGTCGGTCTAAGGACGTCTGCTATCATCACGTCTAATTTGGGTTCCATAGACCTGCTTTAGATGTGAGGATGCTGAAGGACAGTCAACCAGCCGGAGAGGTGGGGGAGAAGAGGAGAGCACTGATCAGGGATCAGGTAAGTAATTCTGCTTTACTTCAGCCCTTGGCATAAACGAGCACTTAACGCATGCAGTATGTGGGTACCCCCACTGCAAGGGTAGATTTTCTATTTCCTCAGAGATTGAAAGAAAAAATAGCAAACATTTAATTTTTAGTATTGACCATAAAAAAAGAGATACAAAATATATACAAAACAACAGTAATATATAAAATATATATAAAACAACCCCTGAACCATCACATGACCTTTGCTTATCCAGAAGCTGTCATGCTGTGGACAGAACATTTGTGGCCTGCTGGACCCTCTCACCACTGTGTCCATAGATTTGCTTAACATGTGAACCCTGAGTGTTAGAATGTAATATTTATGGGACAATATTTATGAATATAGAAGATATATAGAGTGAGCACACCAAACATCAAAAGAATGCATTTGCAATCGAATTGTATTTAACATACACTCACCGGCCACTTTATTAGGTACACCTGTTCAACTGCTTGGTAACCCAAATTGCTAATCAGCCAATCAAATGGCAGCAACTGAATGCATTTAGGCATCTAGACATGGGGAGGACGACTTGCTGAAGTTCAAACCGAGCATCAGAATGGGGAAGAAAGGGGATTTAAGTGACTTTGAACGTGGGAGGTCTGAGTATTTCAAAATCTGCTTAACTACTGGGATATTCACACACAACCATCTGTAGGGTTTACAGAGAATGGTCCGAAAAAGAGAAAATATCCAGTGGGCGGCAGTTTTGTGGTTGAAAATGCCTTGTTAATATCAGAGATCAGAAGAGAATAGGCGGACTGGTTCGAGATGATAGAAAGGCAACAGTAACTCAAATAACCACTCGTTACATCCGAGGTATGCACAATACCATTGGCTACAGCAGCAGAAGACCACACCGGGTAGAAGATTCGAAAAACGTTGCCTGGTCTAATGGGTATTCGATTTCAGCTGCAACATTCAGATGGTCGGGTCACAATTTAGCGTAAACAACATGAAAGCATGGATCCATCTTGCCTTGTATCAACGGTTCAGGCTGGTGGTGGTGGTGGTGGTGTAATGGTGTGGGTGATATTTTCTTGCCACACTTTTGGCCCCTTAGTACCCATATAATCATCCTTTTAAATGCCATGGCCTACCTGAGTATTATTGCTGACCATGTCCATCCCTTTATGACTACAGTGTACCCATCTTCTGATGGCTACTTCCAGCAGGAAAATGCACCATGTCACAAAGCTCACATCATCTCAAACTGGTTTCTTGAACATGACAATGAGTTCACTGACTCCAATGGCCTCCACAGTCACCAGATCTCAATCCAATAGAGCACCTTTGGGATGTGGTGGAATGAGAGATTCGCATCATGGATGTGCAGTCGACAAATCTGCAGCAACTGCGTGATGCTATCATATCAGTATGGACCCAAATCTCTGAGGAATGTTTCCAACACCTTGTTAAATGTATGCCACGAAGAATTAAGGCAGTTCTGAAGGCAAAAGGGATCCAACCCGGTACTAGCAAGGTGTACCTAATAAAGTGGCCGGCGAGTGTATATAGAAGCACTAGTAGAATAGGTAGAAATATCCTAGTTTATTGTGTTACAGCACACATATACAACAATAGTATATACTGCACTGTTTAGCCAAGTTTATATTCAAAAGAATACATGCATGCACATAAGCAGACAGACCGAATCAATCCGAATAGCAACTTATGATGCAAACTCATATGACTAAAATGCTTACTTTTCTTCTTATGTTCATGCATGTATTCCTCTGAATATAAACTGGGATAAACAGTGCAGCAGATACTCTTGTTGTGTTATGTTTGACGTAACCTGACATACTAAGAAACTTGTACCTATTGTTCTATTTATAGTGCGTCTGTATACTGTATGTTCTATACAATTCTACTGCAAAAGCATTCTTTTGATGTTTGCGGTGCCTATTCTGTATATCTTCTGTTGGCGTATTAGTAGGCTGATACACAGTGTTCAAGCACCCTAAAAATCTTTCATTCTTTTGATGTTTGCGGTGCCTATTCTGTATATCTTCTATTGGCGTATTAGCAGGCTGATACACAGAGTTCAAGCACCCTAAAAATCTTTCATTCTTTTGATGTTTGCGGTGCCTATTCTGTATATCTTCTGTTGTCGTATTAGCAGGCTGACACACAGTGTTCAAGCACCCTAAAAATCTTTAATTGCTGCTTATGAAATAGTGTTTGTAATAGAGGTGTGCAGACTTTTATGGCCTAATACATTATTCATGAATAACCTGTATGGCTGTTTCATTGGTACATCACTTACATTCATTCTTTCTATTCCCGAGCATTGTAATCTCTTGTTAGCAGTGTCCTGTTTGTGTTGTTCTTCACAGATTCAGAATTCGAATGAGACTGAAATGACGACCCCAGAAGGACTGGTGAAAGGTCATGCATACTCCATTATTGGGGTCTCAGAGGTAAGGCCACATATACTTCCATTATGTTATAAAACAGACCATATAGACAAAATAAATTGTGTTGTCAGCAGGTATCATGTCTGAACTTTTTTTGTTTGACAGAATCAGTAATTTATTTAATCATATAATATTCAGGGTTAAACAGGGCCACCCACTGAGCAAATTTCAGCTGGTTCTTTATGAACCAGACGAAATTTGCTCTGTGGGTGGGCATGTTGGTAACCTTATCTCCGGCATCCTTCAATCAGAAAATTGAAGGTGATGGTTGGAAAATCTTTGCACGAAACAGTGACAGCAGCCAATCAGCTGCCCTCTATGTTTAGGTATTCTGACAGCACACCCGGCACTGTCAGAATACAATAACCCAGCAGGAAGAATCTATTGTATTTTATTCGTTCAGCCCACAGTGTGAATGAAAAAATATAACAGTGTATGGCCAGCTTAAGACTCTTTCCTACTTGGTTACCCCTGCTCTTTAGTCCACCCAGAAGGGATATTTCAGGTATAGGTGAAGTCCAGTGGGCCAAACCACCTGCTGGCTTATATATTTTAGAGTATGAGCAGTGAGGGGAGAGAGAGGCGCCGGCTGTCAGATCCTGGCCGAGCGTCTCTCTCTCTCTCCTCACTGCTCTGCATTAGTTAGTGACAGCGGCTCTGTCCTCCGCTCTGTCCTCCGCCCTCCCCCGCCGCCGGTTCCTTCACTTCTTATCGGATCCCGGGGATCCAGAAGAAGTTCCTTCACTTCTTCTCGGAGCAGCGGGGATCCAGAGAAGCGGCGGGAGGAGAGGACATGGTGATCTACCAGTGATCGCTACGCGATCGACTGGTAGATCGCGATCGACCTTATGGGCACCCCTGTTTTAGAGGCTTTAGCAGTGAGCTGTCCCTGCTGTAGTTCCTGGGTCCAGTTTTGGATGTGCTGGTCTCCTTAGAGTGTTCCTACTCCGTATTTTAAGTTGACCCTAACACTTAACCCATTTCATCCAAAAGTCTGAACCTCCACACAGTAGGGAATAGTTGTTTTTCTTCTTTTGCTGTGTGTCCCATTGGCAAGATTTCCCCTCACTTCATGTCCAGGAATGCAACAGGAAGTGACAGGAAATATTTCACAAATTAGGAGAGGGCCTTTCTTATTCAGCTCTCACCGGCATAGGTGTCCCCGTTGGAGGATTTCCTCTAACCTCTTGTTTTGGATGCAACTGTAAAATGTTGTAACCACCATCACCCTCTGTGCTAGTGACCAAACAGAGAGGTTGAATCCTTCCAGCATTAACACAGCCAATAAAATCCTGACAGAGGCTCTAACGCTGCCCCATTCTACCCAGAACTAAAAGAAAACATTTTGGCTTACCCAAACCCTACAAATGAACCCTTAATATATTTCTTATAGGTGGAGCACAATGGTCGCAGGATCCCTCTGATCAAACTACGAAATCCATGGGGGGCAGTGGAGTGGAATGGGCGCTGGAGCGACAAGTATGTATCCAGGATAACATAAATAATGACCAGCCTAGTATTGTATGAAGTGTGGGGTCCATTGATGTTGGTAGGGCCAGTGTAGATGGCCTTTGTTCACATCAGAACTGCTTCCCTCCCCCATATTAGTCAATGGGTATGCAAAGCAACTTGATGCAGGACAAATGCGCCAGAAATGAATTCTAAATGATCTCAGAAGCATCTCAAATTGATCTAATTTCTCATATCTCATTTCTAATTTGTGACTAAAGTTTATTAATGATGATTGCACAACTCAAAGCCATGTTTTACTTTAACTATAAGTCCAGATTTTAAAGCGGAACTCCAGTCAGCACCTAAAAGTACATTCAAGCCTCCCTCTCCCTCTATGTAGCATCCCTTGGTATTTTTTTTTTTTTTTGCCCTGTTCTCTGTCCCTCTTCTTAGCCCCGTAACATTATCACAGGAGCTGCAAAATATCTTCAAACTTCAGCAGCCAGGAAGAAAGGTCCACAATGGCACCCTGCATCATTTCCTGCTGATTTAGGGTATCCAAGTAAAAGCATGGCAGTACAGAGAAAAAAGGGGAAGATGTCTCTATTGCACATTTACGATTCACCAGCTTTTATTATTATGGAATCAGTTGCTTACAAACACCATCAACTATGCCATCCGTGAGCAAGTATTGCCATGTCACCAGGAGGCATATCCAAAAGGGATATGGTGAGGATGAAGAGCCATGAGACACCCCAGGCAATAATGTAATATGCTACACTCCTAAGTCACTTATCTGCATTGATTCAAATATAAAGATCAGATAGTCTTTGCTCGGGTGTGTAGATTAGAGGTGAGGATTCTAATGCAATTGTAAACCACGAGATCTTGTCCCATATAGACTCTATTTGCTATGTGTTGTAACTTACAAGGGATGTTGGTACCCCTGTAGGGATAAAAAACCTTCCCAGACATTAAACATTTATAATTAGATTTCTTTACTGCTCTCACAGCTCAGCATCCTGAAGCTGTAAGTTGCTTCAGGGCTAAAGTCATGTGATAGTTTGCCCAGTCGCCGAACTGCAAACAAGGTGTGTTCAGATTAAACTCATGGCTGACCTGGATCTCATTCCTTATTGTGTTTATCCAAGGGGTCTGAGGTGACTCATAGACTTACACTCAAATACGATAAGCAGTAAAGTATAACAATTGTGTCTGCATGTCATGAGAAAACATGGCTGCCCTTGTATGCATATGTAACTAAAACTCTGCATGTGCACAAAAGTGATATTAAAGGGGGGGAAGGTTGGTCTGGATCAGCTTCTTACACATTTGGATTACTAAACCATTTTATGATTTTATGAGAAAATATTGTTTAATAATGAAAATTCATACAGTAACTTGAACAGTTTAGTGAATTGGTGTATGTATATTGCCTTTAAAAAAGGAACTTTTTTTTAGATTGTCATGGGGAAAAATCAGCTTAATGTAAATAATCTTCCCAATATGTGTTATTGTTCTAAATACCTTGTCTGTATGTATACTTTGTATGGGGGCGGCCATTTATTTTAAAGTGGAGCTTTCAGTGACTTCACAGGTCTACATGCATAAATTCCTGACATGTCACAATATTTAGCAACAGTGTATTTTTTTCAGAAAAGCTTTAATTTGTATAATTAGGGCTTGTTCACACCAAAAGTGTGTGCGTTCCAGAGCGGTAGCTGGTGGAACGCACCTCGATCGATAAGAAACTTCCCCCCGCGTTCTGGGGCAGGAGGGGGCATTACGGTGCATTGAATTCAATGGCACCGCTTCCACGCCCCCCACCCCTCACCCCGCGCACGCAGTGTGATCAGACACGTGGCAAAACATTGCCAGCGTTCTGTTCCACTGCAAACGCCAAAAATAGGACTTGCTCTATTTTTTGCATTTGCAGTGGAATGGAACGCTGGCAAAGTTTTGCCACGTGTCTGATCACACTGCGTGCGCGGGGTGAGGGGTGGGGGGCGTGGAAGCGGTGCCATTGAATTCAATGCACTGCCACGCCCCCTCCCGCCCCAGAACGCGGGGGAAGTTTCTTAGCGATCGCAGTGCATTCCAGCATCTACTACTCTGGAACGCACAGGCTTTCGGTGTGAACAAGCCCTTAAAAAGCAGTCATTGATCGTCAGTCGGTGAGTTTGCCTAGGCTGAGATGATTTCATCAGTCGGGTGCAGGAAGCATTTCCTCAGTCTCCTCTCCCCTGGTGATCAGAAGGTACATTGTAGATTTGAAGTCACAATGTAAGAGGCTGCAGCAGGAGCTGATCAGATCAGATAGGATGATCCCATGACCAGAATTTACATGGCTGTGCCATCCGTGAGCCACAATCTCAGTTAAGGAAGTAGATGCTGACCCTGCATGATGCCAGAACATAGATGGTGCTGCCTTTCTGAAAGCAGATGAAGCATTGTCATTTAGTTTACTGACAGCTCCCCGATGTGGACTCTGCTGGACAATGCGCTGAAGGATAAACTTCATGTGAAACGTGAAGATGGTGAATTCTGGTAAGAGATTGGGGTTAGGTGGTTCGGGACTTTATACTGCATACAGTCTTATATTGTTACTCTCATAGTAATAGACTTTTTTTCAGGATGCAAATGGATGACTTTATGCGCTATTTTGACACTCTGGAAATCTGCAGCCTGACACCAGACTCAGCCTATAGTGATAACGCCAAGCCATGGAATGACAGCTCTTTTAATGGCAAATGGGTGAGAGGGCACAATGCGGGTGGATGCCGAAATAACAGAGGTGAGGACCTGTCTTTTTTTCTTTATGCACCCTGCATAGTGTACCTTGTCAAGTAGGGATTTTTGCACATATAGATTATTCAACCTATTACTCAATCAGCCTTCTCATCCATCACAGACCAATAAAACAGGAAGTTGACATGTTTATGTAAATCCATATTATACTTGAGTATAAGAACATCTTTCCATTGCAGGTACATTCTGGACTAACCCCCAGTTCCTAGTGACTCTAGAGAGCGATGCTGAGAAGCACCCATGCACAATCCTAGCTTCTCTTATGCAGAAGGACAGGCGGAAGGGGCGAGCTGTTGGGAGAGACTTTCTGGCTATCGGTTTTGAGATCTACCAGGTACAGTATTGTGTACCAACATGTATTAGCAAAGCGAAATATATTCGAGATAAGATAAGTAAGTTCAGTGAATAACCTTTTAAATATTACTATTTTGCAGGTGGCAAAAGAGGTGAATTGCACAATTCTGAACTACATGTCTGTGAAAACTCTGGTGTATCATGGCTTCTGTCCTTATAACGATCCATATCTAGTCTGTCATCTGTGTTGCTGTTTGCAGCTGATCTGTCACTATATGGAATACAGCCATCTCTGACTTTCGCCTGTGTCTTGTCATGTCTATTAGTGCAAAGCCTCTATCACTGTACTGCTGATTCTGTTACCAAAGTGTACAGGGCTACTGCCATGCACTGTGATAACCCAACCCTATTATTGTAGAATTTAATCTGTTACCACTATGTACAGGGTACCTAACCCCCATTTCTATACCACTGAATTTGTTACCTCAGTTGCAGGGATTACTGTATCATTAAATCTGTTACCTCAGTGTACAGGGATTACTGTATCATTACATCTGTTATCTCAGTGTATGGGGATTGCTTAATCCCATTGTAGTGCAGCAAAATGTGTTACCACAATGTACAGGGATTACCTGTCCTGAACCCATTACTAAACCACAGAATTTGTTATCTCAATATAAAGGGATTACCCAACCCCCATTACTGTACCTCCTAAATCTGTTATCACAATATACAGGAATTACCTGACTCCCATTACTGTACCTCTAAATCTGTTATCACAATATACAGGGATTACCTGCCCCCCATTAGTGTAACTCTAAGTATTAATGTTTGGGTTTAGGTTTATTGGGCAGCACACATTCTGTCAGTGTACTTAGTATGTCATTATGGTCATGTTGTCTTTCTCAGTTTGGACAGATGACACAGGTGTCACAGAGAGTGAAAACTGTCTCCAGTCTTATTCCCATGGTTATCACACCATACATAGCCAAGCGAGATATCACCGGCCGCTATGATGTTCCCCCTGGGCAGTACCTGATCATTCCCACCACTTTTATGCCTCATGAAGAGTCTTCCTTCAACCTGAGAGTCTTCACCGAGAAAAATAACACATTCAAGTAAGACAAATCTCGGCAAATGAATTTACTTATTATATTAGTCTGTCTTAGTATCTTTCCTCTTCCACTTCTAGTTTATGTACAGTGTATATAGTTGCCTAAACAATATACTGGGCATAGGACTAAAGTCTTCTGAAGAAGAATGAAAAGAAGTGCAGGTCAATGCTCAGAAGCTTTCCTACAAACCGCACAGTGTGAAAAGTACATTGAACTGTAGAGTTTCCATCTATATAAAAAAGTTGAATGACACCAAACCGTTATAAGAGGCACTTCATTTGTAACGCTTGAGTAGGAAAGCATTTGCATTGTTCACTCTGGTCTGTATTTTTCCTCAGGGAGGTTGATTGTGAGATCAGAGCAGAGGGGAAGGTGTTTCAGGTACGTGTCTCCCAATATAAGTTCCACAGCTGTACTTGTGAAAATAATGTATTGTGTACACGAGTTAAAGTGTAATTTAAAAAAGGGGATCTATTTTACAAACACATCTTGAGGATCTTTTTTGCAAATATAATCTTTTGTTTTTCGAAATGTAGAGTTTCCGCTCCTTAAAAGAGTACATACATCCTTGTGCCTTGAAGGTGAATGCCGTAGCCTTATTATGTGTTTTCTCCTTCCTTGACGTGTCCAATCAAAAGATGCTTAAAATTTTATGTCCGGGTCTTTTTTTAATATTGCCCTCTAATAGTGACTTTCTGCAAGCATCATTCAACCCATTTCCTGTGAGACTAGGGTGTCAAGAATAATATCTGTGTCCCAGTCTCCCAACCAGAATCCGAATGTGTAGTCAAAAGGGCGCTGGCATGACTTGCGGATGGCGCCGCACAAATCTAGACCTCGATAAGGCACACCAGGGTCCAGTGTATCAAAACATCTTTATTTTACGGCAGATTTACATGGTATCACATATAACAGCGATGTTTCGGAACCTACAGCATTTCCTTCATCAGGCAAACATAGTGACAACCATAGTGTGAAAAAGTACATATATACTGTGTGTGTGTATATATA